TGTGTTTACTGACCTCGAAACGATTTTATGTGCACGGCGCTCGAAAATCTGTCAGATGTTTCAGTACGACTTTGCTAAGCTACGAAGCCGCACCGCTTGGTGGATTGTTGGAGCGTTACGGCTATCGTAGGCGGAGCCTCGCGGAGTGATACGTAGTGTGCTTCAACATAATATAGACTATGTGCACGTTAGCATATGCTACTTCCGGTGCAGAAACTCCTGTGGGGAGCTTTGTTTCCGGTGTCGTATTCGCGCCTGGTTTATGGTCCAAAACAAGTTAAGCAAATGAATGAATCAAGCAGCGATTTACATTTCTATAGATGTCTCGGGCATTTACCCAATATATCTGTAAATGATGTTCATCGACTTGTCGATATTTCTGTTGTTATATTTCTCAGCTGTCCCTCGTTTATCGTGGGTGTTATGTTCTAAAAATAACCAGCGAGAGGTGAAATCAAGGAGCCAATTTTATTTTTGACGGTGCAAAACGTTTGGTGGACATCGTGGACATACAGCACTGCACTGCAGAGTCACACTGCTAGCATCGATGCAGCGATTCTGTACTGTACAGGAGAGACGGAGGAGATCGTCTGCAGCGATCAGGACACAATGTGACGTAAAATAAGCAGCAAACTTGCACTAAAAAATCTGAAACAGCGAGGTGAAAGGTGAACCATGTTATAGCGAGGGACCGCTGTAATTTTGAAGGTAAGTCACAACATACCCTTCGTACATACTAATGTATAGAAACCAGCAATCATTCATTTTTTGTGTGGCTTTTTTCACGGTTTGTTAACATGCTGTGTAGGTGTGTACTTGACGAGCTGATATCGACATAACGGGAAACATCTGGTTTGACTGTTTTCACCTGTAGTTTGAATGCTGAACATTTGCCTGTTTGAATCATGAGACCAGTCACTACACAGAGATGTGCTTCTGAGTGTGGACGATGTGTCTTCTGCTGCAGTGATGCAGTTCTGCTTGTGTTGAGTGACGTAAACAACTGATCGATCGAAACGCTTTAAACGTCAAAACTGATCATTAGATTTTTTATGACACAGCAGCGGTGAGTGTTCCCACCTTCTCTTTGTAACTTAACGCCATCTTTCCGTTTTAGAGTTGTGGACATGATTTTGGAGGATATATCTTTGCAGTAGCGATTGACCGCAAAGTAAAGCTACCAGAAATGCACAACCCCACATCCGGTCTCAAACCAGGAAGTTAGCATTGTCTCGTGCACAGGGTCTATTGCTGTATTGTGTGTGTAGAGCCTCTTTTTAAGGTTTGTGGATGTTGTACATGGTTATGCTGAGGATGTGTCGGCCGGCTTCCACTGGAAATGCCTTTTGGTTAAACTGTTAGCGAGCAATTTGCACTGTTAAATGTTTATATAACTTTAATGCAGATAAAAAACAGCTGGTTGATTAAGTGAACATACATTGATGGTTTTGCACTAAGAAAGTTGAGGAGTTGTAAAGTATTTTGTCCAGTGTCAATTATATCGTCAGTTATATCGTTATCGCACATTTTCAAATGTATATGGTGATAAATATTTTATCTGCCCTGCTCTATGTGACAGAGAAAAAGAAACTAAAACACGAGTGTGTCAAATACACCCAGGTGTTAGCAGCAGACAGCAGGGTGGGACGCGGTGACCGTGGACCACAGGCGGAGCCGCACAGCAGCTGTTGTAGATCCACGCACGGTCACTGAGACATAAACACGACACTTACACAACGACACTAAAGCGACCGGAAGGATTATTTATGATGTAGCGCCGAGTCTGTGAATGACGTCACGCATGTCCTGACTTACATCATTTTCAATATTCAATATTCACCAACACGAGCAGAGAAATAAAACACACAGAAACACCGGAAGTGGGTCCTGGGAACCCTACGGCTCACCTGGTCGCCCCGCGGACACGTCCGCGTGGAGCGTCCCGTCGGGTCCCGGTCCCCGTCCCAGGCGCACGTGGAGCTCGGATCATGACTGATTATTGAAGACTGATCTGATAAGAAGCCTCGAGTCCGGTCCGCCGACCAATCAGCGCCCACCACCCCGGCTGCTCGAAATTTATTGGCGGATGGAAAACAACGACACGGTGCGTTACCGCCACCGGCTGGCGCGGAGTGTGAACTGCAGCCCTCAGACAAGCCAAACATAAGGCTCGGGGGCCAGAACCCAGCCCACTGGACAGGGTCGGGAGATGTGACGCACCACGGGGAGCGTACGCCCGCTGTGCTCCGGGCACAAACTCACATTTTGATCTAAAATGCTCTGTTCCCAGCTCTGTTCTGGGATGCACCCTGGACCCAGTGCAGGGGTGGGAGACAGAAGGACTCTGGCCAAAATAACATCTCCGATGGACAGAGTCTCCCAGCCCATGCATGTAGATGTTGTTGAACTGCAGAGCTCCTGCAGTGACAGACTGCTGCATCCTCGATGCATGAAGGAGCGTTTCCACAGGTCCTTCCTCCCTGCAGCTGTCAGACTGCGCAATCAGAACTGCTCCCAACAAACACAGATGTTTACATCTGTGCTGTAACTGCAATAAGTTAATTAACCGATTCGCACTACAACCTGGTTTGCCTCTTACCTGTAGTTATTTTATTTTATTTAATAACTGTACAGTACTCTGTTTATAGTAACGATTGTCCTTAATGTAAATATGTAAGAAAAATTGTGTATGTTTCTGCTCTGTGTCCTGTTTGTTTGTATATGTGTCTTTTTGGCTGCTGTTACAACCAAATTTCTCCTTGTGGGACAATTAAAGGATTATCCTAAAATCTGACAAAATCATAAAATTAGAGAAGAAAGGTTTATTCTTTATATTTTTAAACCCACCAACACGTTTAACGAATCATTTTCTTGAAATACAAAAATGAACGTATGCACAAATTCTGGAGCCTATCCTGGCTCTGCGAGGGCGAGAGGCGGAGTCCACCGAAGGCGTCCGCTATGCACCAACTCCAACACTTCCTCACACGTACTGCGATGATGATAAGCTGGACTCTGCAGGTTTGATGTGAAGCCAGTGAGCCACATGACCTCGGGGTCAGTGTGTCTGCCAAACAAAGATTTACATTTTAAATGAAGGTTTTCCACATAAATGAGTTAAAACTACAAATTTGACCCTTTTGAATGATTTTCTTTACTTCATAAGTCCAGAAAACTTTCAGGGCTGAAAAACTACAAACACTGTAACACCCACTGCAAAACTCACAGTGTTGTTGATGCAGTGATCATCAGTATGAGGGCACATATCACAGTTTGATGTCTTTGACTTAGAGGGAAAATGCATTGTGGGTAAATTTTCAGCGTGGAGCCTGTGGGACAGGTGTGCGTTAACCTGATACCAGGATGGTCTCCTGGCTGGGACTTTCAGTCTTATGTGGAAACAGCCTGTGATTTGGTGCACTGGTGTATAAATATGGTGTTTCTTGTGGTGGTTAGCTGTGGCAGGAAGTCAGCATGAGTTCTGTGGAAAGTGGCGAGTGGGTCAGGGTACCGAGTCATACGCTCACTTTTTCCTAAGAATCCTTCGGGTCACATGATCAGTGTCGGGTATATAAAGGCTGCGTTTCTGTGAGGTCAGCAGCTCTCAGCCAATCAGACGCCGTCTGCACGGTACGACTCCTCCCTCAGCACACGGGATCTACACCCATCTTAGTTTAGTACTTTCCAGTGTTTTTAGGATCTGACTGAAGCTTTAATCCTACTCACAGCACTTTGATCTGTATTTTAATGGGATTATAGACCCTGGCTCCATTCACATTAACAGCTCTGACTCCTATTATTACAGCTTATTGGAGTTCTGTCAGTGTTTCCTGTTGGAAGTTCACATTTCTGTCACGATATCGCTTTAAAACTCTGTTTGCGCACAAATCTTTCAACTCAGTTTGATGCAGAATCCCAGAAAGTCCCACATCAGCAAAGTGTGTCCGTCTCAGGCCGAGGACAAACGGGGTCCACTCAGTCCAGGCTCGCAGTGTGCTAGTCCACCCAGAAGCTGTGAAGAAGAGTATAAAAAGGCTGTGCCAGTGAGAGCTGCCATGGTTGTCATGGTAACAGCTGAGCATGCTCACTCTGAGCAGAAACCAGACTCAAGCATCCTGATTTTCTTCAATCCCTGTGATCTCTGAGGTTTGACTCCAGCAGCGATTATCGATCCTATCATCACTCCAATCAATCTGTTTGATTGGCTCTGTTTCAATAAAGTCACAGCCTTTCATTAGAGCTGGGCGATAGAACGATAACGATATGTATTGTGAAATAACTTTTTCTCGATAGAAAAATTAAACTATTGTGATAGGCCTCACCGCTCGTCCTCTTAAAAAAAAAA